TATTTACCTATTTTATTGTGTTGTTTATGGATTTACTCGTGCGTTATTTAGAATCTACTTTTTCTTAGAATTAAGGTGTTTGTTATATATATTATATTTCATTCATTGCTAGATATTGGGATTGATTCTGAGGCGATATTTTTAAAATCTATCTCTAAAATAATGATTTTAATTTGATATCACACCGAAATCCTTATTGTACAGAATGAATTCCTAGTAGACTAAAGTTAAAATTATTATAATTTTATGAACCGTTATTTCGCGAAACTATCAAATTAAAATATTAAATTAAGAAATAGGTTTAGAGAAATGGCGCTTCAGAAGCAACTCCATTAACTCAATTGCTATTTTACGGTATTAATAGTTTAGAGAGGTACTTATAAAGTAGTAGTGATAATGACAGAGGAAGATAATTTTTAATGTTTCGTTCAAGACACAGCGGGAAAATAAAAATAGCCATAAAAATTAAAAAAAATAAATATGACAAAATAACAATGGGCGGACTTATCGATCTTTTCCAGGAAATCTTAGGATGAAAAAGTTTATATATATATATTTGCAATTCTCGTACATTTAATATAAAAAATGTTGTAGAAAGATGGAGCTTATGAGCTATTTTTTATTTTCGATTACCTAAGAAATATAAAACGTTGGTATTTATTATAAAACATTATATAATATCATATGACCATATTATATTTACTAAAACAATATTTATTATAATAAATAAATGATTTAATATGTAATCTAAAATATGAAATTGTATTGAATTTGTAAAGCTATTTTCACATCAGTATATTCTAAGAGGCCATGACTCCAATAAAGCCTTTAATCTGAAATACATTTTCAATTTGAATTGTGCGCCAATTTCCCATTATAAGCAACGAAAATGGTTTCTTGATTACAGTGACGTAAAAACACTTGTTACACGGGGCATAAGCGGTCGACATCAATCACTTGGTTTGCTACGTTTAGATTTCTGAAATTGGGCCCGTTTGTAGTTTTTGCCTGAGGGAGAAATACGATGATCATTCAACTCTTCTGTCTTTTATGTCTGGAGTACATTCGCCTAATAGAAACGTAAGCTGTCTGTTAGTTAAACTCTTGAGTTTGTTCTTGTTCACAAATTTTATTTGCAAGGAAACTTTTGTGTATTTATTATTCATCTTAAAAGGTAGAGTGCGTATGAAAATATTAAATTTACCAATATCGGATTCGTTATTTTGTTCTTTGTTGATTCTGGTAATAAAGTTCCTTTTTTTCTAATAATTTGAAATTGAAATTACAAAGGCTTTATTATATATATTAAAGTATATTTTTTCAGATTTCTTTTTCAGGTTTAGTTTTAATAACATTAATAATCTTTATTCATAATTATTTTATTGAACATAAAACGTATTTTATATTATGCTCATAATATATGTTGTTTTTGCTGCTATTTTAGTACTAATTAGGCTCAGGAATGATGTTTGTGTAATTAGAATATTTACATTAAGAGCATCGTATCTCAGTGATATACTACCTTAACTTACAAATATAGAGTCCTTAAAATCTTTGTTTAAAATTTGAGTTTCAATTTAAATTTCTGATTAATTCTCCGGTGCTAGGAAATATCGAAAACAAACCAAATTACTCCAAATAGGCATGGCAATGGCCTCGCTTCCTGCCACCTTAAATTCTAATATGTTTTCTGAAATGTGGCCATTTCTAAAGAAACTTTCACCACAAAGGTCGACGGTCGACTAATGTCTCTGACTAATCCTATCAAGGATTACAGACGTGATCATATATTTATTTATTTTATATTTGTAATTTACATTTAAACATAAGTACAATCGTGATGGAATTAAGAAAAGTGGGTACAGGTAACTGAGTTTAATTGAATTTATACAACAGCTAACATTGTATAAATTCAATGAAATCATGTTATTGAAGGCTGTTACGTTTGCTAATATTTGTTAATATCAATAGAAATTTCAAAGTAACTATAATCAACGTGGAACAAAGATTTCAAACCGGCAGCCTTAAGAAAAAATTTAAAATACAACAAAAATTAGAACATAAACTAAAATTCTTCTCTTGAATTAATGAGTAGGTACCTAACGATATTATAGAAAAAAAAAGGTTTTAACACATCGAAAATGAAAGCTGGACGTAGCGCTAAACTAATGTCCCTACTGTTATAGTGTTATATAGTGTCTGGTTATATATCAACCACTGTTATTTACCACATAAATTATAAATACTAGTTATCTTATTTATAACATCGTTTACTTCAAATTAGTCGTCAATCTGATTATATTATTGTTATATTTAAATTTATATATACGCCTGCTACAATTTTCAATATTTTCTCTGCGTAATAACTACATTTCTGTTTTTCCAATGATTAAGCGGGAGAGAATGTTATATAGCATTAAGTGTGTCTTTGGTATTTAATATTTTTTGTAATGTGGGCAATAAAGTATAAGTAAATAAATGTGATGAAATGTATAATTGAAATAAAGATCTTTGTGCTAACAGTACAAAGATAGTTGTTTTTTAATGTAACGTATACCTAATTATTGTCGCTGCCTAAATAATTAGACCAAAATTTAGTGATAATAATTTAGTGATGAGTATTACGAAGGATAAGACAAGAGATGGGATATAGCTCAGGAATGGTGATGACAGATGGAGTTACTGTGATAATGTTGTAGAGGGGTACAATTGAATTTTAATCAATAAGATAAAAAAAAAATTGCTTACAAAATTAAAAGCAGGGCGTGTCGGCTTAATAAATTGCTCAAAAGTTTCAAGTTATTGATGTTTCAGCTAGCTTATTAAATTTGGATTTATGGAGCTCAAACTGATCGACAGTTTTCGTTTAGTCAATTTTGCCGTTCAATTACTTATGGTATGAATCAGCAATTTCTCTAGAACTGATAAAAAAATGTGGTATAAGTAAGAAATGCCGCATATAGACAATATTAAAAACTTATACTCTTTATGAAAAATAACTAAGTAGGGTATTGTAAATTAGGTATAATGTGCTTGAAAACTTAGGTGTATAGCCGAATAGAGTTTTACCTTTTAAAAATTTGAATTCATTTCACAAGTAACTAAATTGAATAATAAAATCTGCATTTTTTTAACATCGACGTCGATTCAATGGTTCAGAAATTAAGAATCTAATGCTGATACTGTAATGATATTCTTTATGTATCACCGCTCCTGAAGACTAAGATAACTTATTTTTTGTAGAAATAATACCAAAGATTGCATTGAATGTACAATTTGTTATACGAGAGAAATAATTTCAATTTTAATAATTCTAAGAAACACAAGAGCGGACATAATGCTGTTTCATAACACAAATAGGCAAGACAACGCTAGGTTAAGTATCCATACAAATTACGTAAAAATACACTTTCTTGTTTTAGGCACTTATATTCTATGTATTTTATTTATATTCTATCTATTTATACCCTATCTGTGGACTTCAATTTCAGATTCAGCTAATTTCTATTTCTGGCAGACTAACCATTCTAATCACGATATAGAGTTCTAAACTAACCTATCTAGATAAATCCATGAGTTTCCGACTTACTGACGAGTAAGTACACTTTGCGTTTGTAGCTAGTTCAGGTAAATTGCTATAAATATCTTTAGCTGCAAAGAATAATTTTGTTAATGATTATAAATAAAGAACGGGATTTATATACATATTATATTTACACATACCCACAACATGAATTTACCAAACCGTAAAAAAATATTTGGTTTATTATAATTACACAAGTTTTTAGATTAATATTAACAGATTTGTTTAGATTAGATATGAAAGTGTACCTATGAATTTTTGATTGTGAATTCGTTTGCATCGATAAATATAAAAAAAAAGTTAAGATTAATCTGGTACGCAGTTTATGTCTTTATTTCTACAACAAAAATAGAATATTTCGTTTAACGCCATGACTATTATAAAAAATATGTTTTTTTATGCAACTCAGAATGGCAAACAAGCTGACGGCTCACCTGATAGAAAGTGGTGACCGTCGCCTATAGACATGAGCAGTACCATGTACGTAATAGATTATATTGTTTCACCCATGATACCCCCATGCGTTGCCATGTATATAACTGAGTAGAAATATCCATAATATTTTAATAATTATGTTCCCAGAATAGTAGTTATAAATTAATACCCTATTAATGATAATTAAATGATGCGATGATGCTAGCAAATTTAATTATAAGTTGTCTGATATGTAATTGTTGGTGATTAATTAATATGCATTGCCATAGACGAAATAATTGTTTTTCGACTATCTATGAGGTAACTTTGTATTGAAAATATAATAAGTTTTATTTTTATATAAATTCCTATCAATAAGAAAAGTAATGTGATAGTTATAATTAGAAGTGTAATTATTACAATTAAAGTGTTTTTGTGCGGAAACAATTTAATAATAATTATATATAATATTAGCCGTTAATTGTCCACTGCTAAACATAAGCCTTCCCTGTAAGGGGAATTTTGCCAGTAAATGCCACGCCTGGCAGGCAGATTGGCAACCATTATTGGGCTTTTAGTGATGTTTAAAGAGGGACGTTGCTGGCCATCCCTCTACTATTAAGTTATTTAGTCGTTTCGCACGACACCCACGGAAAAGGAAGAGGTGGCCTATTTTATGCCCGAACTACACGGTAAGATCTAACAATACTAGTGACAAATTTTGAGAGATTTGTTTATTATAATGCATCAGTCTGATGTATGTTTATTTTTACCATTATATTGTATATGTATTTGAAAATAAATTATTCACAACCGTAATCTTATATATATTTTCTTGTTCTGTTGACATTTTGTCAACATTTGATCGTTTCACCAAATATATTCTTGACAACTGTCTGACACTGAGTTTAATTTCACTTAGTTTTTATACTATTAATGTATTCGTATTTTACAAATAACGGTGACGAAAAAAATAAAAGACGAAATATATATGTTTTATTATATATATTTTTTTTGTAACGACCAGGATAATAACGCACATTGTTCGGAAGAAGTTTATATTTGAACTATACTATTTACGAGTAGAGACACACAGAAATGTTACGAAATGCAACTGCAGAGTTTATATTTCAATTACATGGCCGCAAAGGGAGCCTTAGGAGCACTAATAATTTACTGTTAACATATATTTCGTTGGATAACCTCGCTGTGTTGAAGGGACCAATTGAAGTTGCAATCATAGGATAAGCGTTGTAAACAAGTAGAAAGACATAAAATGTTGTTAAGCCTTTTACATCATTTATACATTTCAAACGGCTAGTAAATACTTATGTAATATCTATCAACATTTTACATTAGGCTTTAAAATATATTTACATTTAAATTAAATTATTATAATCAATAAAAACTCTATATAAAATGTCTCTATTAAGATAATAGCAATATACATGGCACATACAATATAAACATTTTCTCTTCTTGGTATATACGACCTTTATATATATGATTTCCAAAGTCGTATTTAATATAAAGTATTCGAAGTTAAATGTCGTTATATTTATATTATAATTCATTGATATTTACTTATATAATTATGTACAATTTTATTTAAAACTAGTTATTATCACGTTACACGATAATGGAGTATAGTTTATGTCAATCATAAATGAAGTTAAACTTACACGTACCAAATACAGAATCAATATACAAGAATTAAAGTAGTTAATGATTCAAAAAGCCTTTTCGAACTACAATCACGAAATATACAGAAATATATTTTAACTATAGAAAATTTAAACCGTGTACAATCGTTGAGCGATAAAAAATTAAAAGCATAAACTTCTTCATGTTTGGATTGTCTAAACAGTAATTATAGGATTGTTTTAAATAAATGAAGGAAGATAATTGTTATTGTGAGGGCTGTAGTATGTTTAGCTATGGAGGCATGGGAATTCGCCACCACAGTTTTGCCGTCGTTAGCGTACCATTTATTTGCACGATCTGGAACTCTGTTGCTTTTAACATTATCATTTTCTGTCTCGTCGTCGTAAGCCTCGGTGCCGTAATCATCATCTGAAGTTATTCGTTCGTCTGGATATTGGTCGACATGCCTGTCGTTGCCAGGGATTTCTGTTGAAACAGCGTTCGTTATATTCTTATAAAACAGCTTTAAGTCATGCGACGATTTGATGCACCGAATAAAGCGAATAAACAAAACATCTGTAATTTGTTAAAAGTGGAATTATTTATTTTAAAAATAGAATTTGTTATTTTAAAATGGGGATTTGTTATTTTTAAAAGAGTACTTCTTACATTTAAAAGGTAACAATTTATTTTTAAAATGAAATTAATTAGTTGTTTCATAATAATAGAAATAAAAAATAATTTAATTTACCATATAGTCTTATCTTGCTCTCAACATCTCCAAGAGAATTCTTAGCTACGCAAATATAACTGCCTAAGTCTTCTCTGCGAATATTCTTGATCGTCATTGTCATTTCGGCTTCAAACATGGATTTTTGTCTTACCGTCATCTCATGGTGTTCCGATGGTATTATCAGTTCACCTGAGGAACAATTTATTACTTAAAACACTTGCTTTCAAATTCAATATTAGAATTTCATCTTTCCTCAAGAAAGTTTTATGAAAAATGTAAAAACTTTGAGCAGACACCTAGAGTTTTATGGCTGCCTTATAATTTGTTTCGCTTTTATCAGGGATGCTTCAAAGACTTAATCAAGTGGTATGGTTATGTATCTTTATCTTGACTTATAAATGTGCAAGTTCGTTTTTTTTATTGTGATTTATAAAATATCAAGAAATTTAACATATATGTATATAGTACGTAATAATTTCACATACGTAGAGAATTTTTTTTTATCTTCATCAGTCAATTTTTCTGGTAACGTGAACGACGCCGTATATATAAAATAGTACTTCCTAATAATAATTGCAGATACGATGTACAACATACCTGGATCTTTGACCCAGTAGTTGATGGATTTGGGCGATGACTCGACGTAGCACTCGAGAGTGACGTCAGTACCTAGCGGTGCCCCCACCAGCTGGTTTGGTACTTGGATCACTGGATGAACTATAAAAAAATTTTTTTTAGAATCTTTAAATTATTATTTTGTCTTTAATATAATTTAGGGTAATAATCGTAAATGTTTATAGCAACGTACAAATAGGTTTAATTTATATATTTTAACAATATTTATATTCTACAATGTATTACATGAATTATTATTAATATAATTATTTAATCAAATATTAATGGTGCGGGTGTAAGTAGACAAACAGATAATAGAGATGAATAAATTTTAGGTTCTTAATTATTACATGTAGATTATGTAATCTAATCTATCCAACTTAGTAATCCCTGTCGCTTTAATTGAAGAGATATGTAATAGAGATCTCTAACGTAATTAAGCTATTTACCTACTTTATTTCAACGTACAATTAGGTTATATACCGACCGCGCAATATAAGCATTTGTATTCATAAATGTTTGTTTGTGTATTAGTCTGGGTATTTTCTTTTATGTATATAAGTACAGTCTGGCCAAATGAGTAGCATAAGTTATATCTTTCTCTTTTGGAGTGACACTCGCGCTTAATAAAATACGAATATGTTTCAATTTTAATGTAAGAAAACTGGATTAACTTAAGTGTAATTTATTTGAGAATGCTCGACTAGTTCCGGGACCATCCAGGACCCTTAGTCACGAGCGGCTGTACCTCGAGGGCTAGCCTGATTTTCGGATGCCCCCGAAACAAGTCGAGCACTCTCGACTAAAATCACGTAAGTTAATTCGATGTTCTTACATTAAAATATGTATATCAGTTGTGTAGTATGTGCCCATAGTATAAGCTGTACTTAATTTTAGAGTAGATGATGTTGTGTGGTATATTTATTTTATACTAAGAACACTAAATAATAAGTATTATATGATCACTTACAATGTACACTAATATGAATCCTCTTACTGACCGTTGGCGGCACCCCGTTACTGGCGATACATAAATATGTTCCCATTTCTGAACGTGATATCTTCGTCAGTTTCAACACTTCACCTTGGTACGTATGTGCTGCAAACATAAGTCTATTTTCAGTTACTATATAAATAATGGACCTATAAGCTGACATTTTGATATGTGGCTATGATAAATTATATGATTACGTCGTCGAATTATATTGTTTCGCGATACCCATTCATTTGCTTACTGTGAATAGGTACTTTTGACATAATAATGAGGTTGTACGCAACCCATTTTTTTTTGTTTAATAAACCATTAAAACCGTTGAATGCAATATAAGACCTAAAAGTCTATTCAATGGAGAACTCTACTAATTACGACAAACTTTAAACAATACTAGACGTGAAACTCATCCCGTGAACGGTCGCCGCTCGGCTCATTGTGGAGCCACAAATGCGGTCACACAGACATTCGTACTATTATTATACATATTCGGAAAAACAATGCCGGTCTTGCGCCATTCAAATAAACTAAGACAAATGAAATATTTTTCCCGCGGCTCTCCGAGCACTGAAATTTTGGGCTCAATTATTTGATGTCATAAATTTATTTGCAAGCGGCCGAGGCACGACAGTGGCACTTTCCTGCTGTTTTTCTCAAAGGACATTGTAATATCTCGCAAAAGCTAAAACACTTTCAGACTCAAATAATTCTAAAATTTATTCCATCTGAGTATTATGAAATAATTTATAACAATTAAACTGTCAGTAAAAGCTTATTGAAAGTAACATTCATTAAAAGCTACATAAATTAGGATATAGTGAAAATATTAAATAAATACGAGTAGGTACAAGTATTTGCGTTTACGGACGACGACGTTTAGTGTTATTAACAATTATAGTTAGGTCTTTATAATTCCAAATATTAAATTAATTAAAAGCTACATAAATCAGAAGGACCAGTTGGAATATAAGAAGTTAAACATATATATTTGCGTTAAACGTTAACAAAAAGCAGTTCAGAGCGATTATAGTTGGGGCTTTATTACCTCAAATGTTATTGTTAATTTGTCAAAACCACGACTATTTCTGTAATAACTACAGGATCGTTGCAACAAAAGAAAATTAGCTTCCAATCATGTTAGCGTGTCCGTTGATTTTATCTTTATTCGTTTATTTTACTTCTGTCAGATAGCTGTGCTAATAACTCGAAACAATATTCCAATGAAATTCTGTTAAGCATATTTAGCTCATAATAAATGAAATAATGACGCCGAGTGAAAACGAAATTTGACACTGTATAGGTAATTCGTCGGGATTGGATATCTGGTAAATTATTCACGAGGGTCTGTCAAAGTTGTTATTTAAGCGATAAATAAGACCATTGGGATATTAATTTCAATAATAAATAATAGATTAAAATATACATAATATTCAAAAGGTATAATTAGACTATGTTCTATACAAAGAGTTCATTAATATTTATTATGAAATAATTACGTAGGCATTTTAATTATTATTTAATATTTTATTATTTACAATAAAATAAAAACGTTGCTATAAAAAAAAGTAAGGAAGATAAATTAAGTAAAATATTGTATCTACAAAGTGATCGAATTAAAAATAAGAATGCCTTTGCACCATTATACTACGTCAACTTAGCAATAATTCAAATAGTGTCATAGATTAAGAATAGTGCTAGATAGTTGTTTAATGTAATTGCAAAATCTGTAATTGTACAGTTTAATACATACATTACGTATAATTAAGTATATTATATTCTCATCAATTATATTAAATTAATAACAGAGATATGATAAAGCCGACATTTTTTTATGGGACAAAAGACTTTAAATAAAAAAAAGGATAAAAAGTTGATTACTTTTGCTTTTCGCCCCCGTGTGGTCCCGAACAACAATTTCCTGACCGTCTTCCCGTTTCCACATAACTCTTGGTGGTGGAACACCCCGCGCTCGACACGACACCCTCGCTGTACCGCCCTCTGGTACCATAGTATCTCCTGATGTCTCCTCGGTAATAAAGTCTGGTGGAATTACCACATCTAAAGAGCCCATCTGTAAAAAATATTATTTTTAAAAATTAACAACAAACCTTTTTTTCTCTTCTTATATTTGCATTATAAGAAGAGAAGCATAAAACAGTTCGTCATATGTATAAAAATATATTTAACGTCATCTTGTGGAGAAGTGTTGAACTTGCAATAAATTGAAATAGTAAATTAATATTTTAATGTTTACAGAAAAAAAAATATAAAGCTAGAAAACAACCTAATAAAATTAATACTAAATGAACGTCCATTAATATTAATTTATGATGTTGGTATTGATGCATTGTTAAATCCATGTTCAGAATTGTACGCCTTAATGGATCTGAATTAATAAAACTACTATTTTTATATGAAATCATATATGTCACTAAATTCATAAATTAGAATATTTAATAAATTTTGAATAGGATTTATTGATTTATAGGCATACAATAAGGACTTAAAATTTGTTATTTCTCTTTTGAATTTTATAGAAGAATAGGAAATTGGAAACATATTCTACATTTTTACGTGAAGAGGCCGCTTTGCGTATATGAATTAATAGAAAATCATTGATTACTTATTTTATGATAAAAGTTAGTAATAAAATAAGAAAGCATTATTGTGAAAATTCGATTACTTAATTAACTTTAAAAAGAAAAATCTATTTAATGGGACACTAAATTTACTATCACAGATAAACTATGAATGGATTAATGATACTTTATGTACGTAGGCGGGAAGAATTTAAATTTATCTCCTGACTTGGATTGACTGACTTGAAAATAATGAAAGAAAGGATACGATTGTATGTTTATCCGTTTCAGTCGTAATGAATGCTATCGTAGATTGAAATTTATAGTATATATTTAATGAATTTGATAAAATTATGATATTAGTATATGTTTTGATTCGGAATGATTTTATTTAGGAATAATAAAATATTATAATACCTTCATAAATTTTAATAATATAATTATTATTAAAATTTGTGAAGGTAGTTGAATAATGTAAAGCGTGGTATTTTGGCGTGAACCAATAGGAATGAATTGAATGAAATTTTTGGGAAAATGGAGGAAAAAAATTAACGAGGAATAGAGTGACGAAGGAATGACGAGGGGAGGCCTTTTAAAAAATCCTGTATGGTGGTTCTTGCTTGCTTTTCTTATTCGGCACGCTAGTAGCAAAATTTGGAAGAACGCTCATCGGGTCTCTGCCCGATTCGCTTGGTTTATTTATTTTAAAATGTATAGTGTTAAATTTAATTAAATTCGGGAGTGAATCGCGAGTGATTCCTGGTTGGCGTGATGCGGGTTCCTGATTGCTGGTACCTGATTGGCAGGTAGCAGGTTCAAGGTTGGCGTAATCCGATGAGTCCGTTCCGTTTTCTTGACTGTACTAATCTATATTATTCCTCGTGTTTTCAGGATATTAGAATTGAATTCAATCAACTTAGAATAGTTTAAATTCATTATTATCAAAATTTAGCTAGCAAAGATTATCGGAATCGAGAAGAATATTTATCATTATGTTTAGCGAATAGCTAGGTACAGTTTTGCAAAGAATACATTCAGAAGGTATTTAAACATTAATAGATTTTGCTAAATAATTAGGGACTAATTAGGATTTTGCTAGGGATTTCAGTTAGTGTAGGAGAACATTTAAGATATTAAGACATAAACTATGACTAAAATAATGTTACTTTCAGCATCTATTTATTCTTTCAGCATTTACTTTGGCTAATTAATTCTATTTTAGCAATATGATTTTTGTGCTTGTGTTTACCTATAAGTTCTCTATTTTATCATTTAAGTTTACTTTATTCTATTTCTATGCCATATTAAAATTTTATGTACGTGTGTATTATTTCTCTTATTTCATAAGTTGGCTTTTTGTCATACAGATGCGTTGTTCTGAGCCTGGTTCAACGTTAGAGTATGGTATATGGAACTATCAGTGATTCGTAACATTCTTTAATCCACTCTAATCTTTGAAACTATTTATGCTGATATAGCACCTGACTACTTAATATGAGTTATTGTAAAATTAATCTGCCTGTGAATATTTTATAAAATTAGCCATTTCTGAATTACTCATTTGTTCAATACTATTTTGCTATTTACAATTTACATTATATTTTATTATACGTCTGTTACCAAGTCCATTTTGGTTAGATTTTATTTTAACGTAATGTTAAGATAGGTCTCGAACATATTACATTGAACTAGAATTTATAATAATTTAGATAATTAAGTAAATTGGTTTTAATGTTTTGCTATTTTGTTTAAAAATGTTTATTCGATTAATTTATTTCGATTAATGATATTTTTAAATGCCATTTTATTCAAACAGTAATACAATACTCTTTATATAATAATACAATAGGCCTATTCCAGTAATTCATTTATCTAAAACTAAGATATTGATAGCCTCGTTTAAATAGATATTATGGTTTCATTTCATCTATTAGATCGGTTTTCATGATGCTTTATTTAAATGCCGTTTTGTTATCTGTTAAGCTGACTTTAATGATTTATCTTGTTCTCGATTAAGCCCATTTCTACGACTCTTTTTTATCTAGTTATTATAGTAATGTAATTATTATTTAGGTAAATTCGATTATTCTTAACTTAAATATTATTTTATTTCATTATTATTTCATCCAAATAAGCCGAATTTTTAACCGAATTTAGTGAACTATTTATCTAAGTACTACATTTTATATTAAGCAATTTCGATTAGGTCTATATTGGAGATTTTTTATTTACCATCTTTTACATTATCTAATAGGCCGATTATAATGACTGTTATTTAAATAGTAGCCGTTCCCTGCGGCATTGTCCGCTTCTAATTATGTAGTTTCGTATATCATTCCCACAAGAAGTATTCATAAACCCGGTCTTACATCGTATTATATATATAAATAATTACGTACCTAATATCTTTATAAAGTTTTAGCCAAATCAACTGATCGGTCATTTAATAGCATTTCATATGCGATTATATAGATTGATATAACTTTTTTGAATTAAAAGTGAATTAAGCCGCAATGCATTAGCGAAAACCGCGTTCAAATCGGTTAAGCCGTTTCTAAGATTACGTTTGTACGTACAGACAAACAGACTAAATTTCTGGTAATTGTTGTTTTTGGTTTTATTGCATTTTTAAAAATAATGGATTTCTTATATTTACGTCCTCCATTTACGGACGATGACCAGTTGCAATTTTATTATATGTATTGATCGCAAAGCCGACTTTAGCGAATCATTTATCTAAATACTGCGTTTTACATATTAACTAAGCCGATTTAAATGTCTTTTCTATTCAGTTATTATAGTTATATGTTAATTATTAGGTAGACTTGACATTTTTTTACATAAACACCATTCGTTATTAAAATAAGCTGAATTTTAAGCATACTATAGCATATAAATTTATCTAAACACTGCGTCTTACATACTAACTTAACAGATTCTAAATGGTTATTATAGTTATGCGTTATTCATTTAATACTTTACTACTAGGTAAATTAGTTTATTTAAATGTCATTGTATTTCATTATCCAAATAGGCGGAATTTAAACATTATTACAGTACACTATTCATTAAGCCGTCTTTAGCGTAACATTTTATTTAAATACTGTCTTACATTCTTAATTTAAATTTGGCTTCAGCCTACTTAACAAACACTCTCAGTAGCTCTCTTCCTTCGGGATAATCTATTCAACTTGGCTATGGCCTATTCAACAAACACTCTTAGTAGCTCTCTTCCTACTGGTTGATCTACTCATACTTGGCTACGGCCTATTGAACAAACACTCTTAGTAACTCTTTTCCTAGGGGTTGATCTACTTATACCTGGCTACGGCCTAATCAACAATCTTAGTAGCTCTCTTCCTATGGATTGATCTACTCATACCTGGCTATGGCCTATTCAAGAAACAATCTAAGTAACTCTCTTCCTACGGGTTGATTTACTCATACTTGGCTCTGGCCTACTCAACATTCACAAAACCTATCTTAATTCTCGAGTATTCTTGGTATAAAATAAATTACACAAAATTAAACATGCTATGTTAGTATAGCAGCTATCAACATTATATTGGCTTTGCTAATCTTACGGTGTAGAAGGTAACCCTTATCACACTATTCTACATATTTATTGGGCTGTTTCTACGGGTTGATCTTTAATGTCACAATATAGAGCCGAAAAGGAGCCTCTCCCATAAGTAAGTTCTAGTGTCTGAGTGATCTCGTGATTTCAGTCACGTCTCGGACTGTCGCCACAGTTTGATCTCTATTGTCACATTTTGAGCCGAAGGAAAGCATTGTGGGGCTGGTGGAGCCATTGTAATGTTGATGTACTAATGTACTTTTGATTTGGAACTGAGAATACTCTGTACTTCCCTACCTACCCAGTGCATTATGCATCTTTAATACTTCTGTCCATTCAGGAGGAAGAGTCATAGATAGTTGGTAAGTCTTCCACTGGTCCGGGCGTGTGAGGGGCTCGACCACTTCTCTCACCATTCCTCTTCCCCATAAGATTTATTAATCTTTAATTTTGTCATCTAAATATATTCTTCATAACCGAGTAGATGTTATGAGTACGTTTTATTAATTAAAATAATTACTTTAACATCGACACTCGCTTGGTAAATGTATAAAGCTCCCGGTTTAAATTTTTAACCGGGTCAATTTATGAAATGATTTTTCTATTTATTGTAGGCTTGGCTATTTTTGGGCAGGCAATCGTGTGTTAAGTAACATTTTATTAACCAGTTTTCTGGTATTTGATCGCGAGAATCAGCATAAAAACAATCTAGGGTACGGTTTATTATCATTATCATTATGCCCTTCTCTTAATTATTTTCAAGCGGCGTAATACGTACTATATAGTTAATGTGTGTATCAAAATTTTATTTAAAATCGTTGACAATTTCGGTAAGAAATCTATAAATTCATATTTTTGAACATTAAAATTTATAATATCAATGGAAATACATCCTGCATAAATTCTTTTAATTTGGTTGCTGACAGATCATATTGCTTGTTATAAAGAAAAAAAAAAATACATTTTAATTTTATTGCGTAATTGTTCTATTAAAAGAACCATTCGAGTTTTACAAAACGTTAATCCTCTAAAATACGCAATTATTTATAATACTGGTACTTAGCGTATTATATTTTTTTGGAAAATAATGTAAAATCGTATTATAAAATGTTAGAGGTTAAAAAGGCTGTGAAGCCTGATACTCTTATACTTATTTAATATTTTAGTTCCGAAAATAAATTTAACGTTGTTAGTAACGGCTCAACTTATTTCGTGTTTATGTAAGTGGTTGGTTTAGTTAAGAATACTTAACTGGTAGAGTTTCGGATCGCGTATTGAAGTATGAAGGTCAAAATTTCATAAATATAATTCGAATAAGTAGTTATTTAATAAAAATTACAGTAAATAAGCTGACCGTGTGGTCTTGGCATAGAATGCGCTACCCCTTCGTTTTGTGTGGGTGTCGTAAGAGGCGACTAAGGAAACTTAATCGTTGAGGGTTGGGCAGTAGTGCCCCTCTAAAAATATCACCAAATAACTGCGGTTGTGAACCAGTTAATAACTGATATGATGATGATGACAGTAAATAAGGTAGTAATGTGTTTTTCCATATTTGCGCATTAGAGAGTAACAAGTATTCAAATATCTTCACAATTTTTTATATTTATAATATTAGTAGAAGAAAGAAGACCTAAGAAGAAAGATTTATAGATAATTTGAATTTTTTTACTTTATTTTTTACGATGAATTATACTTTTCTATAATATTTATTTGGTAAAACTTGTAAAAGAATACGGTCGGTGACTCTGTCATTAGTAATTTTATATTTTGTTTTTTTTTTTATTACTATACTAATTATAATGTTTACAAAACGCAACTATTATGGAAGTAATTGTTATCGTCTTTTTTAATTATTGTAAAATTTGAAACATTAAATTTTAAATAATCCATAGCACAAATAAATAAATTATCTAAACTGAGATACTAAGTACATTAACTGGTATTCGAATTTCACGCTATTTAAAAAAGATCAAATTATTTTGTAAGGTTGTAATTTGATGAAAATTGTAATCAGACTAATTGAAGCCCTTTCAGTTTTATATTCCCGTAACGAGAGCAAGGCTGCCGATTGCGAATGGGCCAAAGCGTTTTCGTAGCATTCCTGAATGGTAGCTTCATTATCGATTTGCTGATAGAATTTTTACTAGGTTTTTTTTTACAATCATTAGAATAAGATGGCGTTGAATTAAATGCTGATTAATTAGAATAGAAATTATTATTATCCGAATTTATTTGTTACTTTGAAAATATTACTTTTATAGTTTTACTGCTGGGTTCAGAATATTTACTACTACTTTACGGCGAAAATTAAAATGATACTAACCTGACTCTTCATAGGGTCCGTATTGATTTGACACATATATTGTCCTCTGTCTTCTTCTTGCACGTTCTTGATGTGGAGGTACCATGTGGAGTGATCGCTGTGAGATACCGACACTCGGGGATTGTGCGTTATTACGTGTTCGTGGATTGCCTGTATTGCTTTTGTGTCTGCTTTCACCCAGCCAACCTGCATACATAAAACATTAGACTATACTATTAAGGTTTATATAAATAAAAGCTACTCTGTATGTATTACTAAAATAAAGGCGGGGAGAGAAGAGATTGTTAGTAATGGGGACTAACGATCTCATTGTAAGCAATATACCCTGTCAGGTTGACCTTCACGCGGTGTCACCTGGAAATCATTGTGATTAATTCTTATAATTTCATCACCCCTGCCTTGCTTTATCTTCACCTGACTGGTGCCCCGTCAATGTATACCAATGGCAAAGGCGGGGTTACCATTCTATTATCGTCTCATAAAAAAAACCCTTAGAGACTAAAGGAGAGGGAGTAAAATGGCTCCTGGGGTGCTAAGATTTAATGAAAGAAGCACTATCTTCGGCGAAAAGCGCGAACCCTCGACGATCTTTTTTCATTTATGAGAAGTAAGAACGTTGTTTTACTTACCTAAGATCAGGTTAGGGAATACTTATACTACATGGCGTAGTACGACTATTCCTACCCCTCTTATAAGCAAATTAAATATTTTAAGTAAGAGGACAGAATAGGACATATTGCTAATATAGGAAATATTAGAAATATGTCAAATCGATTTCTGTGCGGTTCTAGAAACCTTCGTCGTTTCTGGTAGAATCGTTACGATGAGTTAACTAACCTGAGTTTATTGTCATCTATCATCAGTCACTGATACTCGGTAAGCATAAATTGGTACAGGTGGCACTATTATTTCATTTTCATCTCTAAAAGAAACATCTCACTAAAAGAATGAGCCATGTTCACGGTCAGTATATATATATATATATATATATATATATATATATATATGGTATATACACACACGTCTCTACATGTACGTGTAGAGGCATCATCTGTTTATGTGATAGTGATAGCGATGGATCACCCCGTTTTTGTTTGAAGGGTTTGGGATTTAGTCAAAGGTAAAAAGATATAAAATTCAGTAATCTATTTAAAAGTACAAAATATAATAATAAGGCCTAAATTTCATAATAGCGAAATTAAATAATCACGATATTATGCTCTTCCGTAGGAATCACAGATAACATGATATGGTACATATATACTATGGTAACAATTATCCATCTAAGAAAGTTACACAAAAATATAATTATTTGTTTGGTTCAATTAGAGATTTTTCTAATATTATTTACCTTTTATTTTAGACGGGAATGGATTGTTAGTAATGCGGATTACTAATCCCATTACTAGCAATATACCCAGTCAGGTCGACCTCAGCGTGGTCCCCTCTGTAAACCATTGTGCTGAATTCCAGATTTATTCATCATGATAGCCTAACTGACCTGCTTTTTCATTTTCACCTATCATCACTTACTGGTACCCCGCCAGCGTATACTGCTAGCGTAAGCGGGATTACCATTCCATTATCATACATTAAAAAAGCCTTATTTAAAAATAATATTTATATGATATGTAATTTATTGAAAATCATTCACGAGCTATTTAATTTACTTATATAAAATAACCACAAATACCGGACACTAGCTGATGCGATGCTAATGCAATTTGGTTAAAACAATTCGTAGAATCAATGTAATTCAATTGTTTAACGAAATATTTCATGAATGAGAGACCCGTCAAATAAGAAAAAAAATATTGTTTCTATGTTTGTTATAGAATTATCAGTCTACATGTTCTGTTAAAGTTTCAAAGCTATTGAATAAACTGCAGGAGTTGTGACACTAACAATATTATAGCCAGACGGATGAACAGAAAGACAGGTAGACAAACTAATTTGACACAATTATAAACATTCTAGGCTGTAGGATATTACTAACACTATTAGGTTTGTTATCTTTTTCTTTATATTTAGAATGACGTGTAAGCTGACGGCAATAGAAGACATGTATACTATCATGGATACCAAAATACACAGTGATTCATGGGTACCCTTCTTGTGTTGCCGTCCTTGAAGATTATCATGCTTTCTTATTCTGTAGTTCTCCTGCCATAAGGGTTCTTACCCTTGCCATTTCCATACCAAGATTGCAAGTCATAAGATGAGATGCGAATAACTATCTCACGGCAGAAACACAAGTGGAATACGGGCACCGATGCAGATGACTTTTATATTAAATCTCTCTACGCTATCGGTATACGCTGGCGGGTACCAGTGCGGGGTGAGAGGCCACGATGAAAGCAGGTCAGTTAGCCAATCGTGGCGAATTTCTATTAGAGTTTATCATGACAGTTTCCAGGGGGAACCGCGTGGAGGGCGACGTGATAGGGTGTGGCTAGGTATGGGGAAATTAGACCCCATTACTAAGAATCCCTTTCCCCCCTGCATTTACGGGCTGCAAAAATGACTATCACCCACACTAGAAATTGTTGTGATGGCAATGGTCATCTTTGGACTACATTACTTGTCATCAAGAACGGTGTGTCTTTAACTACCCTCTATAAAAAAATACTCACTCGAAAATTTCCGAGGTTGACCACGATGCATTCGAAGGTAGCGTCACGCCCTATAGCCACCGTCAGGTTTGTGATGGGTTCTCCGAACTCCGGCACCTCGATGCCCCCTGTTAATTTAAATAATCCATATTAATATTACATACATAAAAATATGTTTGTTACTATACGAGGTCTGTCCGGAAAGTTCGTATAAAAGTGTTCTGGAATGCGAGAAAGAGGAGTGGGGAGGCCAGGTAAGCGCAGGACCCCTTCCTTATGTCCCTAACAATGCTTCAGTTCTGGTCTGACCGCCGTGCGGTGCGAACTGGCTTGTCACGCCATCTGTGAAGTTACCTCTTAACGAAACCCCGTCGGCATGGAGCCCGCTTCCGTTGAAGAGCAGCGCGTCGTAATCAAGTTTCTCTCGAAACTCGGCAAGAATGGCCGTGAAATTTTTGCCGATCTCAGAACAGTTTATGGGGATGATGCTGTGAAGGAACCAACCGTCCACAAGTGGCTAAAAAGATTCAGAGAGGGCCGAGAAAGCGTTCAAGATGACCCACGTTCAGGACGTCCTTCCACTTCACATTCCGACGAAAACGTGGAAAGAATTCGAACTTGTGTTAATGGGGACCGTCGTTTAACGGTCAGACAGGTGGCTGAAGAGCTTAATTTGTCCACGAAATTCTAAGAAACGAACTTCAAATGAAAAAAATTTGCGCCAAGATCGTTCCGTGAGTTTTTGAGTAAAAATTCCATTACGGTGACCGAACACCCCCCTATTCGCCGGATTTGGCCCCGTGTGACTTCTTCTTGTTCCCAAAACCAAATTGGTACTTCGGGGGCGGCATTTGGGGGACATAAATGAGATAAAAAAAGCTACGACGGGGCAGCTGAGAAACCTACAACCAGAGGACTTTCAAGGAGCCTTCTCACAGTGGAAACGGCGTTGGCACAAGTGCATTATGTCACAGGGGGAGTACTTTGAAGGGGATAAAATTGATTTACCTGAATAATTGTAAAATAAAATTTTTAAAAAACTTTTATACGTACTTTCCGGACAAACCTCGTACAGCATAATAATGAATTAATCAATTGTCATAAAATTTGGTATGAATATTATTTAGAGTATGAATAGTATTTTTTGAGAGATTTCATCGTTTTAGGTTGTTTTGTGTATAAAAGGATGTTTTTATATCAAGAAATAAAATCAATTAGGATTGTGGATTTCAAAAATTGCGAGAACACCTCGTATGAATCAGATATGATATTGAATGATTCCTAGATTGGACTTGTTACTAAGACGGCGAATTAGAAATTTTATGTAAACTAGTAGCAGCTATTTTCATATATTGTTGAGAATTTTGGTATCTAACGCCCAATTCATTCACATAAGTAGGATGTTCACCATAGCGATAAGTGTCGAGCACAGTTAAGAGTACCTACATGTATTTATTTTTATTTTAAAGTTTGAATAATAAACAGAAATAAATATGTATATAAGTGCGACAAATCAGTTATTTGGCTTTTAAGTTAGGAAATCCAATATTATAAAGAAACAAAGTAAATATCCAGTCTAATATAATTTTTTTTTTAATTGCTTGACGGAAAATAGGACGAGGAATATCATTTATATAAAATATAATCTACCACTATCCCAACAAGGTTTATGTATTATTTACTTAGACTAGGCGGCAATGGCAGTTGTACATCAAGAAACTAACTTCCATTGCATTAGTTGGCGGCCCGTGTGTTTACAGGCTTATCACATTTGCAAGCTGAAGTTAAGTCGCGTTTTCGCGATACTGTCAGGCTCAGTTGCACCTCGTTCCGAAGACCAAGCAGAAAGTGTCAACTAACCACTCAACTTGGCCCGCTATTCGTGGTTTCAACTTGTGAACGTGAAGTGACACGAATAAGTTTCCAAGTGATAACTAGACCGCACTACGCCTTCTATTATCGTGTACATACTAACTAACTCAATTATTCAAACTACAGGAGACTGAAACAATTTGATGTTAAACTCCATAATCGAGTATTCCTTGTTTTAACTGAGCTAGTTTCTGACTTAAACAGATGTTTTGTTTATCATATTAACTTTAGTATGTATGTATATCTGATTATAGGTAGTAAGATTTAAGCAATATTACTGAATGGGAGAAGCCTATTCGATCTATTTAATTGTACAATGTATTGATAAAGTAACGTTCACATTCTAATATACCAACTTTTCTTAATTAACTCAAGCCTGTTTTTTTTTTATTATATTTGTGTTCCTATAAGTGTCGTTGTCTGTTATGCATAAGTTAAAGATCAGGCAAAATGTATATTATACAAATTTAGTTCGTTTTATATAAGTAAATTATGACTTATTAGCTTCTTGCGTAAATCAGTACATAAAATATCCTATGTGCTAAGTTACTTTAGAATTAGTTATAACATATCCGTGTATCAAATTTCATTTAAGTATTGAGTAGTTTTTGCAAAAGTAACATCCATACTTTCATTTTTACATACTTTTCTATTTTTAACATTGCATTTTACAAAAGTTACGAATGTATTATAAATGTTCAATTACACATGTACAACATTTTCTATATTTTAATAAGAACAGTAAGACTGAATAATTTTTCATAAAGAAATATGGATTGACAAATGACAAATAATTCTGAACTTTTGATCATCAACTTTATTGCATTGTACAAGCCCAAATAATTTTAATATCTCATACTTAAACGTTTAATTCTGATTGTACGTTACGTGATCTCTGAACTTTTGGCATATTTTATCGAGTTAACCATTACAGCTTTCAGGGTCAAATTAATGTACTAACTTGAACTCCATCGGACACCTAAGTGTCTAAGTTTCATACTCCCAGGACAAGAACATAATATACACAAATGCGAAAATTGCACTTCGTGTAGTGATATGTTGCGTTAGAGAGAGCTAGTAGGAATGTTTTGTTACCTTTACGAGTCACAAGAGGCACTCAAATAGTGAAGCTAGTGTGAAAACAGTCAGGACACCTTTTTGCTTCTTTCATAGCTAATACAACTTTATTGACGTAGAAAAGGGCGAGATCTTTAAGACCTAACCAAAATAACATCGTCTGTCTTCTTGTATTGCTCTGGAGTGCTATTTGTGAATATTATTCCATCAGACTCTTTTATAGAGCTAGAAAATGTTAGAGAAAAACATTTTTTTGTTTATTTATCCAGATACGTATTTGGTTTTCTTTCTGTTTTATTTATTATCTTAATTTTAATGAAGCAAGAAAATAATAATAATATGTCAAGAAATGTATTCTGAGAACTCGTTTGACATAAATTCTCAGACTTTCTATTTTTGTAGTATTCAAAATAATACGGGGGCGTTCATTTACACTTTAGGGCCACTGTCATTCCAATCGTGTACTGTGCATTTTAGAGATTTTTCTTGTCACAAATGTAAAATTTCTAGAATATAGAATTCGTAATTTTATAAACAGTATGGTCTTATTTTATGTTTATTTATTAGTATAAGTTCTCAGTTTTTGCTTTTACATTAATTGACTTATTCATAGTGGGGTATTAACGTAGTACTGTTTATATTATTAGAGGAATAACTACGATGATCGTGCTTCAAATTTTATAGAGCATTCCCGGAATATTTATTTTAAAAAGCTCTCCATAACAGCAACTATACCGGAGATGTAACGCCACTGAACGGTCTCGTGGAAGGCAGTAAAAACTGCCATTTTGCAACGGCAGCGTCCACAATATCGTGGCAGACTGGGACGCAGTAAAATGTTTACAAAATATCCTGCTTTTGTTGCGGGTGCCACTAGAAGTGTTGGATATTGCTTTTGTATTACCGTTTTAGCGTAAACTGAGCCAGCCACTTTCTTCCAGATGTTGTAATAGATCTATTCGCGAATGATTGTTGGTTTTTTTTTCAATTTGGATATATTTTCAAGGCAACAAATATCTCATTACGACTTAGAATAAATGAATTTATACTTATATTCTGTACTGACTTTATATTAACTTAATTCGAAACTGGCGTTACCAGTAGTATTTCAGTGTACTTTCCACCTTATTTACTAGTTTCTGACTTAAACAGATATTTTACTTATCATATTAACTTTAGAATTATTGTATGACTGAGCATTGTAATGTGGTCTCGGCGTAGAGTGAGCCACCTCTTCTTTTTCCGTGGGTGTCGTAAAAGGCGACTATGGGATCTTAATGGTCGAGGGATGGGCGGCGATGTCCTTTTAAAACGTTACCAAAAGCCTAACTGCTGTTACCAACCCGCTTGCCAAGCATGACAACTTCTGGTAAAATACTTATAACAACGTACACAGGCATTCTAAAAGTAGGAGGCCTATGTTCAACAGTGGACAGTTAAAGGCTAATATGATGATGATTATAGGTAGTATTCCAGTGTTTCTTTCTCTTCACTTAGAGTTGAAATAAGTTGGAAAAAAAATATGATTATCGAATGATTATCTACTACATCATTCAATAGTTAACATGATAACATTACATCTGGAGACGCTTTTTATTTTCCGTAACGATATCGTACACGTGTACGGCATGACGATATCGTGGACGTGCACGGAAATTTAAAAGATCCCTTACTCAATTGCATATACTCTTATTACATGACTGTTCAAAAAGGGAAATAATGTTTTCAGAGTTTATGTGTGTATATATGTGAGTTCTTTTATTCCACCATAACTTTTAAATGTCTATATAATTTATATGTGTAGGGTATCGTTAGAATCCTTATATCATCCCAAGTGATATTGTTTTTTAATTTGCCATGCAAAATATACTTGATTTGCTTTTCTATTATAACATAACGTTAAAACCTTATGATATATTATATAAGTCTCTACAATATTTAACAGTAAACATAAATTTATTATTAATAAATATAACTATATATAATATATAGGCTATAAGAGATGGGAATTAAAGTGAACATTTAAAAGTTTAAGTAAACTATGATAATACCTATACCTGGGTTATCTCAATGTAGATGTAAATGACGGTAGGAGAAAATACTTCAGCCTCGGAAGGTATGATAGCGATCTATTAGTTCTACTCGTTATAGCGGTCAAAATAACTTGGTAGAAATGTCG